CTGTTTGGGTAGAATGTAGTGCCTCAGTACAACATTCCTCCCTGACAGCTTTCATGGACATTGAAGCTCTATTTTCAGTCCACCTGGTACTTCCTGGCCTCTTGCGTTCTACATCTGAAAGAAGTCAGATGGAAGAAATTTCTTCTAGGGCTAAGTTGAAAAACAATCAGTTCTTTTAAAATGTTGCCTTCATTATTGCTGTGTATTCCTTATCACAGCTCGCTTTCTTCAGACCCAGTTACCTCCCCCAAAAGCGAGCAACTGATCCAAGCAGATGTTTTCTTATCAAGAATTCATACCAGACCTATTTATTCTGAATTAGCATATCTCATTAACTGTCTCAAGGACACTGGCTGAATTCATCTTTTAATGACTATCTCAAAAATCTAGCTTTTCAAAAGCGAAATGTAAATGCAGAGGACTGTACAATTAACCCCCTCACTTCCAGGGCCTGGGTAAGAAGATGCTGGAGGGTGGGGTTTTCCACCTGGCCTTTGAGTGAAGCCATGTAGACCTCTGGTGCTTTGGTGTGTGACATGCCACCAACATTTTGGGGTCCTGAGGTGAGGAAATGAGCACTGAGAAGAGCAGATGTGCTTCCTTCCCATCCACTGCATGGCTTACAGGTATGTGTATTCCCTCTGCTTCTTCTCTGATCGTATTTTCCCCCTAAATAGCAGCGCTAAAATTATTTTGGTACAGTATTTAATCATTCAAAAGAAAACCACTGAATGATGTGGTATTTCACTTGGATATAATCCAACAAATCCACTTTTTTTTTTTTTTTTTTTTTTTTTTTTCTAATATATGAGTATTAGTGAAGCCAGAATGCCTCCAAGGCTTCCTGGATTGCATTTTTTTTGTTCTGAAACAAAGGCCTCAACAAGCTTGTATGATGTTGTCTGCATATGCTCATCCACAGAAAAGCATTCTGGTGTAGTGCTTATTGAAAGAAACACAGTTACACCAGAAATGCTAAAATATGACACTGACTGTGGGGTCTGCAGAAACCTCCAAAGGGCTCAAAAGGCACGGCCCAGAACCAGCAGAATGCAGTGCATTGGACCAGGCCACTGTTCCTCATGCCTTGTGAAAGTGCACTGAGAGAGGGAGGGCTGGAAGACAGCAGGGGTCAAAGGAATTGTGAGGAATGAGTGGGCGTTTAGAGAAGAAGGAAGATCCAAGGGCAAGGATGTTACAAATGAAGAGATTTCAATTTCAAAGAAAGCCGCAAAAATAAAAAATGTAGGAAACCAACCTGGAAATTCTGTTCGCACACGGGATGATTGATTTGTGAGCCATTCCCAGCACTGCAGCTGTATACTTACCCCTTCCGATGGCTCATTTGAATTTCATAGCATTTATTTTGATCCAAGCAGTGTATCACCCCGTAACGGTGTTGCTGAAATTGTATTTCAAGGCGATCGGACCTTGATTCTGCAGGGTCAGTGTGGCTCAATCCACTTAGCGCGGCACCACAGCTCGTGAGGATGTCGTTAAGGATGTGCCAGCACTTCCATTACACACCCCATTTTCAAGGGTTTAAACTTGCAGAGTCCTTTAGCAATATACTATACTGGCTGCAGCGCTGGGGGAAAAATCAATATTATAATTCAAAAAGTAAGTAAAAAGTACCCTTTGCTAATGAAAGCAAGGACAGATGTGACTGCTGGAAGAAAATGAATAGCGCCTAAGCAACAGGCAAAGCATATACTAATTCAAACCTATTCACATTTAAAAATAGCACACCTAAATTTAACAGGATTGAAGCAGATGGAGGTAATACATAAAAACATTAACATTTCTGCAGCCTGGATATTCACAACAGCAAAGAAACGGGCTCAGAGATCGCTCCCTGCTTCGCATCCCTTTAAATGCTAATGGCAGTTGAATGGATGCACTTGGAGAGGAACTTGGAGTCTCCAAAGGAATTATATTACCTGCTTAAATGTATATGGATTTATTTTTCTCTAGAGAAAGCTGTTATGTCTGCTCCTAGATAAAAACAACACAAAGCATTCAGGTGGGGTGTTATTATGTAGAATATGTTGCCCTGTTTAAGCCATAATCCCATTAGGATTTGAAGCACCTGAACCCCTGGGGACAAGGGAGAGTGAAATCACTGGCATTCAAGCATTTGCATTAGAAACAGTTTTGGTGGGGAAGGGAAATTTGGCATTAAGCAGCTTTCAATCTCATTGTTGAAAAAGTAAATAAACACTGGGTATATATAAATTATTTAGAGAGAGTCCTAAAAAGAGAGCCATCCTTCCCATGGGAAATGGGGAACAAAAATAACAGAGTAAATTTCTGTGGGAAAACTAACCCCCCATCAAACCAGCAGCATGCCTTGGATTTTCATTTATCATTTAGGTGCTACATGCATTACAGTAGTGCAATTATATGCTAGTTTTATTAAGTGTGTTTGTGTTGCTTCCTTTAGTCCCATAAGGAGGGACTCAGAGTGAAAACAGAAACTTATTTCAGGGAGCCCCATCCAAACTTCCTTGAAAGCAAAGGGAGTTGGCCCCTGGTACCAAGATCTGCCAGAATGCATTTTGGGGGCCTTCAGCCATTGCCTTGCTTTGAGCAGCTTGTCGCACAACTCTGACTACAGATGTGCTATGCAAGGCAGACTCCAGCTCGCAGACAAATACGTGGCTTCAGGGGCTGCTGCAGCAACGTAGGTGAGCAGACTGACTTATTCTCACCACCCTTGTCCTGGCGGCTCAAATAAATCTTGAAGCAGCATTTCTTTGAGGTGTGTGTGTAGCCTCCTGCCTTGCGTGAATGAGAACAGGCGAATTCCCACTCAGACTGAAGAGCCTTTCTAGCAAACTGGAATTTCTTTCACACAAATGTGCATCACAGCCATCCTGCTACCAGAGTCTTTGCTGGACCTGTGCAGCATGTACCCTGTACTTAGCTTCTTCACAGCACCTGTCTGCAAAGGAGTGGGCTTTCACATCAGCAGCTACTACAGCACAGACCTGCTGGCCTTTGGAAGCACTGCTGCACAAGCTGATGTCCTCCAGCTCATTGCTTCTTAAGTGGGATCTGTTATTGTTACTGGACAGTGACAGGGGTACAGGAGACCAAGACACAAACATAGCTCTTTTAAGAGGGTAGGTTTAGAATCACAGAATCATGGAATTCTGGGTAGAAAAGGACCACAATGATCATGTAGTTTCAACCCCCTGCTATGCGCAGGGTCACCAACCAGCAGACCAGGCTGCCCAGAGCCACATCCAGCCTGGCCTTGAATGCCTGCAGGGATGGGGCATCCACAGCCTCCTTGGGCAACCTGTTCCAGTGCATCACCACCCTCTGTGTGAAAAAATTCCTCCTAATATCTAACCTAAACCTCCCCTGTCTCAGTTTAAGACCTTCCCCCTTGTCATATCACTCTCCATCCTTGTAAACAGCTGTTCCCCCTCCTGTTCATATGCTCCCATCAAGTACTGGAGGGTCACAATGAGGTCTCCCTGGAGCCCTCTCTTCTCCAAGCTGAACAATCCCAGTTCTCTCAACCTTTCTTCATAGGAGAGGTGCTCCAGCCCTCTGGTCATCTTAGCGGCCCTCCTCTGGACCCATTCCAAGAGTTCTGCATCCTTCTTGTACTGGGGGCTCCAGGCCTGGACGCAGTACTGCAGATGGGGTTCAGATTAGATATAAGGAAAAAATCTTTTAGAGTGAAAGTGTTGAGGCACTGAAACAGGTTTCCTAGAGATGTGGTTGATGCTTCACACTCCTGGAGACTTTCAAGGTGAGGCTGGATCAGGCCCTGGGCAACCTGATCTAGCTGTGGTGACCCTGTTCATTGCAGGGGAGTTGGACTGGATGGCCTTTAAAGGTCCGTTCTAACTCTAAGGATTCTATGATTCTAATCACAGCCTTCTACAACAATTTTTAATCAAACATTTTGAATTCAATCCCTGTTACAACAAGGACAGCAAAACAAACCAAATTTATTTCCCAAATTTCACTTCGATGTGCTCACAATCTGTTGCACATTAGTTGGATGATGTGCATGTAATTATTATTCTTTTCTTTAGAAAAATTAATGGAGATGAAAAGGAAACCTATACAAATGTTCCTTTAAAGAGAACCTGACATTTCTCTGTTTGCCAGGAGTTAATTAGCCAAGGGGTTAAAAAATCATTTTATTTAATACTGCGAAAGTGAAGAAAAATATGCAAATAAGTCCCAACAAAGCATAGTGTGAAAATGGAAGAAATATCCACCCGCCACCAATTAAGATGATTTTTTTCACAAGAAAATGACGGTTGATTTTACTAATTTTACCCTTGTGGTAATTGTCCCTAATCTTCAGCATATTGTACGTGTCTTGCTCTTATGAATCCCATATCCCCTTCTACCATAAATATTTCATAAAATATTCAAAACCGGTCCACAGCCAAGTAATAACAAATGTCAAATGACACATTAGGAAGATTCATAGCGATTTTAAGTATGAATTTTATATAAAAGCCTAACTCATTTATTGTGGTCAGCATTAAGGATTGATTTCAACAAAGAAATGCTCAGCAATTAGCATCAGCACCTTTATTGCCAGCTTGCTATTAAAGCAGAATTAATAGATTAGCCAGAGCTCTTGGTAGAGGACTGCACACGCTGCTCTGTTCAGTTGTGTTGGGATCTTGATCTCCAAAGGCCTCATTCAAGACCGCTCTAGCATATGTGAAGATGTCTGTTGAGTTTTATATCCTCTTACATCTTTAATTAGTTTTCAGCATCTCCTTTTCCTGCAGCAGTTTTTGTCAGTGATTCCTTCACTAACATCAGCTCAAAACCTTTTTCCCTCATTCTTTCTCTATAAAAATTTCAGGCTTTCTTGGGTAAAGCACAGTTTCAGACTTCTTTACTTTTATCAGCTAGAAAAACATAAAGCGGTAGGAAAAACTGGACGTAGTTTTCCCCTTCTGTATGAACTTACTGAACTTGGCTGGTGGTAATCAGCCCAAAATGTAGGGTGGGTGCCTGCAAGCAGGTGCATGCTCAGATGAGATGGAGGCCATGTGTACAGCATGATCACTAACAACTCACCTGAGGAGAGCAACAGCCCATAAATGTGCTCCTCAGATATAGTTGGGCTGTCTGAAGTGAGGTGAATTGAGACCTGGGTTGGGGGAGAAGAGAAAGCTTGTGGTGGCACCCTGTTGGCCGCATGCTGTGTCTCTCAAGGTTAGCTTCTTTGGGGAGTGCTGATTGCTAGCATGATGGCTGAACGAGGGTTAAGTGATAGATGGAGTAAAGCTAGAAGGTGGTGGTTGTGTATGAGTTTTTGTCCCTTTTTTCCTGCTGTGCTTTAGATCAGTACTTGCTATTATCTCTATTGAGGTAGTGCTCAGTGTGGTTGAGTACAGAGCGATGGGCAGCACGCTGTTGGGTTTTGAAACTGGGCTCCCTCAGCAAGGTAGGTGATGGTTACTCCAGTTGTGTCCCTGAACTGTCAGTGTAAGTCTGCCTATGCTATGGGGGTGGTGGTGCATTATAGGAGGTTGTCGTAACTGATTTGACTTTATTCAGAGATGTATATCTACTATATATTTCACTTACAAAATATTTACTCTCAGTATTGGAAAGAACCGCTTTACAAATATTGGTTAAAGTTATCTTTGTGGTTATAAATCAGGATGAAAAGAGATAATGAGTTCATGGTAAGGGGAAGTAAAGGTGCTATGTTATTCTGGGTAGGATGGCTTGTTCCCTTAGTGACCTCTTCTTTGCCTCTTTGGTTCCTAATTTTCTGTGTTTAATATTGCACTTACTTATTTCATGATTAAACAAACCCAAACATACTGGGAATGTTATGAATTTTCTACTGTGCTTTACAGAAGCTACATATTTATAAGCTTCAGTTGAATTTCCTTCTGGCCTCCTGTATGCATCCTGAGCAGCTCCATATCCCTGTAGCTCTGCAGCATGTCATTCTGCTCTTCTTTCTACCTTGAAAATACAGACTGACTATCTGAATGTGTGTAAAGACTTGTGCTTAATTGCTTTGACTTCATTATGCATTGTATCCTAGATTCCTTATATAATTAATAATGCATCAAATGGCTTGCTAGAATAATAGAAGACACTATACTCTCAGTTATCTATTATAAAAATAAGACCTTACTATAATTTAAAAAGTAAAATAAACATCTGTCTCTTGTCTTCCACTTCGGTTGGGGTGCTCTGCCCTGGGAATCTGGCAGAGGTGAGCAGGGGCCATTCCAGGTGCGTTAACTCAAGCTGCTGCCATGTGTAGGCTGGGGCCAGGCCAAAACAGGTCCAGCCACCTCCTTCATGTTCTCATCACAAGTCAGCAGATCTTGCCCAGCAAAATCCTGTCATTGTGGGCAAATTCATTCAGCACTTGGTCTGGGGAAGGTGGCACAGCGATGCACACAGTGCCTGAGTGAGCAGCATCCTTTGTCATTTGCAGCCCAGGGAACTGCCTTGTTGCTTGCTGCCCTTGGAGGGCATCCAGTATTGATGTGAGTTGCTCTAGGGATTAGATAATTGAACAGGTATTAAAAGTCTTAAGGTAAATTATCAGGAAGCTGTGGCCAAACTGAGTAGGGAATTAGGGGTGCCTAAAACTTGGAGGAAGCAATAAACTGCAGATAGGCTCAACTTGGCAATTGCCTTTTGCTTTAGGAGCCTGTTATAAGGATCTTGGTGGAATAATGTTTAAGCCAAATATGAAAACAGCTTGTAGACCCTTGTTTGCCCTGAACAGATGCACATTTGCACAGATCTATTCCTGTTAGCAAATGTAACAAAATACTTTGGCCTGTAGTTCTGTGTAATTCTTTCTCCAAACATTTCCTGCTCAGCAGGTAGGAAAGGACTATGGCCACAACCAGGCATGTGTGGGTCAAGTCTGTGGGCTTTTGCTGTGGAAACCAGTCAGCTTAACAAGTGCTTCTCCAGCTGTTTGTTTTCTGGTGGTCACTGGGAGTCTGTATGCACTCTGGGAGGAGCAGAGGTCTGAGGGCACTGTTGTGGCCAACCAGCAAATGGTGTGTGAGGGGCTGCTCGATTTGCAGCCCAACTGCTGCAGTGCTGCAGCTGTGTCCTCCTGTAATTGTGAGCATGGCCTTTCTGCTTTATGTCTCTTGGCTGGATGTTTGCTGTGCTTGCAGATTTTAGGAGTGTTTAAATGAACGTATTTCAGCCATTACGGGAATGAATTCAGGAGAAACCACAACTTGGTCTGTGTTAGGTACATCTCCTTGAAATTATGGTTTCCTGTTTAATTTGGAGGGGAGGTTGGAGTCTGGCAGCTAAGTGTCACCTCAGTCAAGTGTGCTTTTGTGTTCCCAGGAACAGGTCTGGATCTCATGGCTGCAGAAACTATCCCTGTAATACTGGTTTGGTGAGTAACTTTTGCTGATCCTACACTATTTCATGATTTCACATGGGAAATAGCCTTTCTAGAACAGTAAATGATATACTAAGTGTATGTGGATGCCCCATCCCTGGAGGCATTGAAGGCCAGGCTGGATGTGGCTCTGGGCAGCCTGGTCTAGTGGTTGGTGACCATGTACATAGCAGGAGGTTGAAACAAGATGGCCATTGTGGTCCTTTTTCAATCCAGGCCATTCTGTGTTTCTAATATGGTTGTTAAAATGTCCCTAGAGGTCACAAAGCTGATTTCTGACACTCCCTCAACTTCAGGTCTTTCCTTACCTCTCGATATCATTAGCCTAATGCTAATACAATAGAGGTCACTCTTACAGATAGTACTGAGTGGTAGAGCCATTTCACTTATGGAGCTCTATGTACAGTGATTAATAAAAAAAATAGCCAGAAATCCCACCCTGCTACGAGATGGTGGCTGTGCAGGGTTGGAGGGGGGCAGAGGGATGGGACTCCTTGGTATTTTTCTCCCCTTCTCACCTGCCCCAGTAAAACCCTCAAATTCATCCTTTTACAGAAATCTGCATTTCCTGGCTATTTCTTGTACCTGCTTTGCACTCCCATTCTCTGCCCTAACATGGTGATTTCTCTGCTTCTCCTGCTGCTTCTGCTTCTCCTATTGTTCCAGCCTCCTGCAAGGAGAGGGGTGTTCAATGATCAGTGTTCTGGGAGGGATTCTGAGCAGTTTCTCTTGAGTTGTGTGCCTGGGGTTTCATTGTGGAGGAAAGTATATGGCATGAAGCTATTGCTTTTGCTGTCCTTTCCTTGTCCAGACTTTTACTCTGACATCTCCAAATCGACGGGGTCTGAATCACAGCTTTTGTTACATGAAAAGCAAATGAAGGGTTTGGTCAAAAACAGCTCTTGGGAAGAGCTTTGTTCTCACTGCCTGAGTTCAGCTGGGGTTTCATGTCTTCCCAGGTCCTTCTTGCTCATTTTTCTCCTTACTTGTGCTGTGCAGTGTTGGAGATGAAGAAGGGACTGTTCATGAGGGCTGGACTGGGAGTGGGATCATGGCTGATGTCTGAGTGCTTTTGTCCTCACAAAGCATGCTACCTGCAAACAGCCCCAAATCACTGATGGAAGGAACGAGAGATGTTATGTTTAAACCTCTGAACTTTGAACCCCTGATGCTGCAGCAATTAGCACGTACTCAGCAACTCTGAACATCAGTCACATCGAAGTGATAAGCAGCACAAACTTTTTTGTAGTCAGTCGCTGTGGCTCTTTTGTTTAATCACGAGCTGATAACAATTAGCCATTTCAATCTACTGCTTAATTTAAACACTAGACTAATTTCCAATCTGAGGCACTATTCAGAATCAACATTGTAATTAATTCTATGGATACTTCTTTGGGGGATAAAGTATCTAAAGGTATAGCAGGCTTCATCTAGGGATTAATGTTACTGCTGGCAAATGTCAGGCATATGGACGACGTTACAGCCTACTTGCTTTCTTCAGATGTGTGAGTTATTGATTGCTTCATCGATGGCTGGTTCCTAGCTGTGTTTCATTATGCTGTGCAGCAGAGGGTTGTTTGTGTTTTGTTGGGTACGTTTGACCTGTGATTGCCCTATGATAAGTAGTGGAGAAAGCAGGCTTTTTTTCCTTCTACTGTTGCTACTTTTCAAGTCTAGTCAATATGCATATGCTGCTCTGGTATGACCCTGTTAACCTGCATTGGATTAAAGACTGGGTAATTTAGAAAGATTTTATATTTAATTACATCTAATAAGCGAAAGAATTCAGAAGAAAGCAGATTGTCCCCCATCAGTAATGGGTCTGGTGCTGAGGCTGACTCTCAGTTTGGCTCACCTGGCCACACAACAGCAGGTGTTACCACTTACTGATTTATGTAGTGTGTGTGGGGTCAGCCCCCTCAGTGTGAAGCAGTGCAATAGGGCGTGCATGGCCTCCTGGTGCAGAGAGAGGAAGCTGTATGTCTGCTGCCTTTCTACTGGGACTCTCCAGCAGCTTTGAAACATCTCTGACCCCCCAGGCAGTTTTTGGGAGTGCAGATCTGCTTATGAATGAGAACAATTGCAGGAACTTCAGCGGGACCTAATCATTTATCCCCCTACACTCGCATTTTCTTTTGAACAGCTCTGATAATTCTTACAGCAAGACTTAAATTGGTTGTCTCCTTCACTTCAATAAATTAAAACCACTGCCAGCGTGGCAGTCAGTGCTTTGAGTGATGCGGCTTTACGTGACTTCCCACCTAAGCTGTGCTGCAGTGCCAGCGGAGCAGCCTTCAGAAAATTTCTCTTTACTGCACTGCAGCCTGGAGTGATGCTGTACACCACTGAGAAGGAAATTCATCAATACAAGTAGGCAGCACCTTCAGAAAAGACACTCACTCTTACCTCGAGGACTTTTAATCATTTATCTCCCGTGTTCAAACTTACTATCACGATTGTCCCAGTTTCACCGTAACCTCAATGGTTCTTGAGTAAATGTTGAAATAAGGGCAGCTTTGATGTTTGAAAACTAACAGAAGGTGGGCAGTGCTGCTGAATCTGGGAAAGGTTTGAGGTCCCTCCCGTGTGGCTGCGCTGAGTGGCTGTGGGCAGGGAGGAGCGGGTGGTGTGGGAGCCTGGAAACGGCAAGAGTTTAATTATCCCCTCGGGTCACAACTTAACAGAATAGCTGCTGATGTTAATGGGAAGAATGCACAGAGGAGGAGGTGTGCTTGTGAGCTTGTTCTTTCCCCTCTCATCTTTTCAGTGGTGAGTTCTTTTCAATGCTTTTCCACGTGGCAATAATAGAGAGGACAGCAGGGTGTAATCGAAGTCCATTGCCCCGCGCAGCAGAGTGTGAGGGGTTGGGGATAGTTTGGGTGAGCAGGGCTGAGGAACAAGTCTCTGACGGTCCTATGTTGAAGGGGCTGCGGCTTCAAACCTTCCCCAGGCAAATAATGCAGCTCTCCTGCTTCGAGAGGTACAGCCTGTTCATGTTCTGGGGGAAACACTGAAATATTATTCCTCCTGAGGCCTACACCCCTTGGGTATTGGAGATGCTATTGCTTTCATCAACCAGCTGGAAGGAGGTTGTGATGAAACGGGCCAGCATCTTCTCCCAGGTGACAGTGATGGGTTGAGGGAGTGGCCTCAAGTCATACTGGAGAGGTTCAGGTATTAGGAAACATTTCTTCTTCTCAGAAAGAGTGGTGTTGCACTGGCTGCCCAGGGATGTGGTGGGGTCACCATTCCTGGAGGTGTTCAAGAAACATGGAGATGTGGCACTAAGGATCGTGGTTTAGTGGGCAGCACTGATGGATGATCGGACTAGATGATCTTAGAGCTCTTTTTCCAAACTTAATTATTTTATGATTCTGTGATTGCCTCCAGCTCATTAATTCTCAGCGTGTTGAACAGATTCTGCATTTGAATTTTACTGTCAGGTTTGTTTATCTTAAGAGAATCCTCCAGATTACCTACTACAATACATAAAATACTACTTATTCTTACACTTTTCCTTCTGATGTTGGAATGATTGTATGTAAAAACTGCTGCTTAAGGAACAGTGAAGGCTTCTCTGGAAGCAAACTAGAGTATGTCCAGATGGAGCTGAAGAAGGCCTCTTGACTGGCAGTTGGAGATTCCCAAAGAATTATTTCTCCGCTTGTTAGTGGAATGTTAATTCCCCTAATGACATGTGCAATAAAGCTCATGTTGAACAACAAATTATCTGAGATAAATCTGTTTTTTTTTCTGCTTTTGGATTGCTCTTGCCAATTTGCAGAGAGAAATATATATATATATATATATATATATATATATATATATATTTTTTTTTTTTTCCTTCTCTTGTATCCTGAAACACAGCATTTATTCTGATACAAAAACATCATTTCACCGCTTCTTGTAGAGTGCTTGGTCTTCTCCTGGGGAAATAATGATCTTTTGCTGATTCCATCGTGCTTCAGAGGGCTCAGGACTTCAAAGCAGTGTGTTGGCAGTGGATGATGTAGGCTGAGCTCCTTGTGCCTGTTGCATCTGTCCCCAGTTCTCAGCTGGAACTGCACAGCCTGAGAACTGTAGGGACTTAACTTTGCAGCAATCCACTGCACTCAGTTTATTAGTCTTATTAGAATGACTCACCAATTTAGCTGTTTTTTTTGAAGTTCACTTTTAATCTCCTAGGTGCTTGGGTTTCAATCCATAATGTGAAGCACCCTAATTGGTTTCAGTTTTGTTGTATTATTTTTCTTTGGTTACTTTGTTCCCACAACTGGGCACTTAATGTCTCCTTGGAGATGGCTGTGGTTGTTTTGTGCGACCTGTTGTGGGCTGTCTTTGTAATTTGTCTTACCTTCAGTAGGAAAAATACCTAATTGCTAAGAGGATAACCAATGTATAAATCACTAAATGAAATCAATGAGAACATCTAATAAAATCAAAAAACTCATTAGAGTTTTGAAGATGAAGTGAGGCTCCATGCAGTCTTGCAGGGAGATTAACAGGAGATGGGCTCCAAACAGAAAATTTACAGTCTGTATCAGTCCTTTGAAGAGAAGTCACCTAGAGGAGCTAGGGATTTGCTTCTGAGAAGTGTCTAATATAAAACTCTTCCTTCTGTTTTAAACACAGCGGTGTATGTTGTGAAGTAACTCGTTTAGGTACGGCAGAGCTTCAGCCTGGCAGAAAGCTCCAGTAGATGTGCACTGAGCATTTTCTTGAACTGAAAGATGCAGAAGCTGACTGTATAAAGTAGTGTAATGAGCCCATCTGCCATCCAACTCTTTTGCAGTATTGAAGTTCTGCTTCTATTTCTATTCTGTTGGGTGTTTCCACTCATTTGTGTAATAAATATATCATCTGACACTGCCCATGTTGAAAAAAGCAAATTTACTCCAATCCAAAGCATCCTCATATTAGGTTTATGTAGTCTACATACTGGAATGCAACTGAGTTATATTGATTTTTTTATAAGCCTGCCACGGGTCATTTTTAGGCATTTAGTTTCCTCTGTAGTCATCTTTAACTATCTGAACGTAATCCTTAGACCCTCACAAATACCAACAGAAAAATCACTTTATTGAATTTCAAAGGAAAAATAAATCACTTGCCTGTCTTGCCGTGAGAGGTTGTATTTTTGTCCCATTTTCTTTAATCTGACATGCCTAGTCTCAAATTCAGGTCTTAATTTTGGAGCCTGCTCTCCTGTATTTACTCTTAAACTCAAAGGGTCTATCTGTGTAAGAACATAATCTCACTTAGTAAGCTTTATGTATTTTGGTTTCATGTTTTGAATGCACTCAAAATCTAATTATTTCTTTCCCATAGAACAGGTGAATAGACACTGACACCACATAGGTATAAAACTAGGGAAGGGGAAGAAATTGAATCAAACTCTTCTTTTAAGGGTAATGCTCCGTACCTTTCCTTACTCTATATTTTTGATTAGTGTATTCACAGTCATCTCATGTCTCTGTGCAGATTGGGTTGGATATCAGCCAAACTCTAACTAAATCTCTTTGGGCTTTGGGAAAATATAAAGTGAGTGTATGCATTCATTAAGGCAGAACAACCTTTCCTTGGGGAGAGATGGACCTGGAGCATGCAGTGTTAAATGTCTGACCTGAACAGGTGAGAATGTCAAGTCTGCTCCTTGCTCACCTCAAGTCAGAAGTTTAATGCAAGGTGATGCCATTTATAGATTTTTTTTTTAATTGTAACACTACCACATGTAGCTGTTATCATGCACATGGGCATAAATTGTATATTTTTTTGACTTGACACCATCTACAAAGGAGCTCTATGGAGGAAGTTGTCCATGCCCAGGTAGGGGAAGTGGCCTCCACAATAAGGGTGCAACCCCCCAGCATTATCAACTCAGGGCTGGGTGAGGACAGCTGTAGAGACCCTCATAAGGTTGCCTAAGGAGGCTTACAGCTGTTGTCATGCAGGCCATGAGGATGAGTGGTAGTAACAGGCTGGGAGGATGGCCTCCTAATCAGTTGTTGTGGGGTTGTGAGCTGGGATCAGTTCTACTTTGGTAGCATCAAACAGCTAATGTATGGGACCGGAGTATCTGTGCTTACAACAAATAGCTGTGGCAATTTACAAGTACAATAAATGGAGAGATAAGTAATTAAAATGAATATATGATACAGTGGCCCAATCTGAGAGAGCTTAAATACTGTTCAAGGTAAGCTGTTGTTGTTTTTTTTTTTTTTTTTTGCTTTCTGCAGTACAGATCAACATCCCAGCAGTATGTGTTCTGATTCAGATGTAAGCTGTGGATTATCAAATTCAATGTGCATCTGTCTCTTGCAACAAATGCTGCTTTCTGCTGTATTTTTTCCTCAATTAGTCAGACTGTTATGTCCTATTTAAACACTCTTCTGTAAGGCTTCCCAAATCTCCTCAGTAACCCAGTGTGAAGGTAGGCACAGGTCATCTAGACCAGTAGATACTGATGCAGGGTATAGGGAAGATGCAACCTGTTTTTGGCAAAGTATGTAGCAGGAAGCAGAGTGCTCTGCTTAGTTGTCTTTTTTTAGGATTAATTCCAAACAAGTAGGAGTCTTGAAAGCCCCAGCACACCAACTGCCTTTCTGTAGGGACATCTTGCATGTGTTTTAGGCATCTCTTATCCAGTGCTGGTGCACCCCTGACCTTATGATGCTTCAGAAACACTGCTGTTTAACCTTCTGTCAACTGGTCTTGGCTACAGAAGCATAAATTTTAGGCTCTGCTCGGGGTACTGTTGATACTTCTCATTTTCTTGCTTTAAGCCAAATGGTGCTCTTTTCTACCCACACTACATTGCTGTAGTCAACAGTGTAATGCTTGCTTTTTCTAATGCTTATCTGAAATTCCCTGCAGGCGAAAGAGAAGAGGAGGTGCTGTGACTCACAGCTGAATGCATGCTGCTGCTTTGGAGCAGCAATGGCTCAGCTCCAAAGCACAATAAAACTGAAGGCCAGGAAAGGACAGGCAGATCATATACTTGCTTAAGCATATCTCACATTACTTCTGCCTTTGTCTTCAAGTGTTGCTTACCCTTTTGACCTCAGATGAACGTTTTTATGTTGAAGAGATAAAGGTGAGAGCACTTTTCACCCTGCCTACTTATCTTGAACATAGCTTACGAATATGCCACAGTTTTTACAGTAAAAAGATGATACTGAATACTAGGCAACTTGAAGTAGGTTATTTAAACGTGAATGGCACACCCAGTTCAGACGGTTTCAACACCTTTAATGAAAGTACTGTGCTTCAGACCCCGCAGGATCTGTTAGGGAGCAGCACTGCAGTACTGAGAAACGTGGTCAACATTTTTGAGACTTTCAGAAACTACTGGAAATTTCTGAAGCGCAACTTCAAATATTCTGCAGAGGAGAATCTGTACAACGCATAAAAATTCTTTAAATCTCACTATTTTGATTTCTTTATTCAAAACAGAATATCAGATAATCATCCAGATTTTTGGGAGTAGTAATGAGTTATTTGCAGGAGAACTTGAGACAATCTTCAGGGGGAGGTGTGCTGGCTTGGTTAGCAACCTCTGGGCAGCAACACCAGTGCTGTGTAGATGGCCCTAGTTGCTGTGTGACAGCCCCAAATGTGGTGTAAGGTTTGAGGAACTGCTGTCACTGACACTAAGCCTTAAAAATCTCTAGTGTCCCTTATGATGCTCCAATAACTGTATTTCATTTTGGTCTATGGCAGGCTGCCTACCTTTAAAATAGTCTCTACGCTGACAGCAGTGTTTGGATCAGTTTAAGTGACTGAAGCAGAACAGATTGTTAGCTGTTTCACAAATTTTCTGATTTTTCTTTTTTCAGTTCTCGACTACCTGAGATAAAAGTATTTCCAATATCAAACTTTTTTTTTTGTGCTAT